TCTCTCTCTCTCTCTCTCTCTCTCTCTCTCTCTCTCTCTTTTGGTTTTTCGAGACAGGGTTTCTCTGTGTTGACCTGGCTGTCCTGGAACTCATTCTGTAGACCTGTAGGCTGGCCTCCTAGTTCTGCCTGCCTCTGCCCCGCAAGTGCTGGGATTAAAGGCATGTGCCACCACTGCCTAGCTAGAGGGATGTTTTTCTTGGTTAATGATTGATGTGAGAGGGCTCTGACTACTGTGGGCATTGCTACTACTGGTGTTCCTGGATTGTCTAAGAAAACTAGCTGAGCAAACCACGAGAAGTAAGTCAGTAAGCCTGTTCCTCTACAATCTGCTCCAGTTCCTGCCTCCAGGTTCCTGCCTTGAGTTCCAGCCCAGGCTTCCCTTGGTGATAATTTGTAACCTGTAAGGGGGAAAAAAACCTCTCCTCCCCTAGTTATGAAACATCATGGCTAGTAGCATAGTAGTTACTGTGTTGCTAGTAGATACTGTGTTACTAGTAGATAATAGTAACACAATCAGTATCATAGCAACAGAGAAGCACACCAATACAGGGTCAAAGCTGACTGTGATCTGGGAAGACAGAAAGTCTGCAGATCAGAAACAGATTCAGACATCAGAAAGTAGCTTCTAGTCTCTGATGAAACTTTAAGCTAATTGGGGCCTAATAAATCTCCTGATTCCTGCAACAGATCCACTGAATAGGTAAGTTGACTCAGGTCTTGGGACCATGTGGCAAAGACCTCTGGGAAATCTGTCTGCAGAAGGTACACTGAGGCTGTCCCACAGAGAACAGTGCACCTACAAGTCTCATTTCTTATGGTATAAGCCCACATTAATTTCAGGTACATCAAATGACTTATGGAAAATATGAACATAATAAGCATATTATGGGACTCCGTGCATTGATCGAGCTTGGACAAGGAATTATTTTCTAAGTCCAATTACATTATCGAAACCACTAAGAGTCATATTTACAGATGGAATTCAATTGTAAGATTAAACCATGCATACAAAATATTCTAAGTACAGAAATGACTTTAAATGATCACACTCAACATTACCATCTCGGGGAACACCGATATCTTGGTTTCTCCCCACACTAGTGATAGGCCCTTTCAATATAGTGTTCCCTGAGGTGCTATTCTCCAAACCCATCCTCCCCAACAACACAGTTCTGGGGGGCTCTGCTTCATTGTTGGCAGTCATGTCTGCCATTAAGTGAGAGGTGATTTTTTGTTGCTGTTTAAAACCACCTATCTCCCTCTTCCTCTCTCCCTTTCCTTCTCTCTCTTTCCTTCTCCCACTTTCTCCCCTTCCCCCCCTCTCTCTTTCTCTCTCTCTCTCTGTGTGTGTGTGTGTGTGTGTGTGTGTGTGTGTGTGTGTGTGTGTGCATGCAAAAGCCAGAAAAGAGAATCCAATCCTCTGGAGCTAGAGTTGCAGGCAGTTGTGAACTATCTGCTGTGGGTGTTGGGAATAGAACTCATGTCCTCTGGCAGAGCAGCAGAGACTTCTATATGTATTTCAGAAGTAAGCTGCATGACCCCTTGAGCCACAAGGGAATGTGACAGTCAATGCAGAAGGAAGGCAACTGGTGGCTTCTGACCTCCAGCACCTGCGGTGATTTTTGTTTTGCTCCATGCTTTGACCACCCTCAGCTGTGGCTCTGTCAGACCCATTTCTTCACAGAGAAAACTAGAACAAGAACATTCACTTTTTCGTCACTTATGTCTGGTACCAACTCCTCCTGGCAGAGTTCTTTATCCATCCCTCCCTACCCTAAGCTGTTGCTCACGCGCCCTTCATCTCCAGGGTGTGTCCTCATATTCCCAGGGCCTACATTCTCATTGAAATCTCCAACTATCCTCAAGTGGTTAGTGAACACCACCAGACAAAACCGAGTCTCCTTCTACAGCCCCAGGCCTGAGCTGCACCCATGAGCACAGGCTGGATGACTAACAAGGTGGTAGTCCCTCCCACTTTACCCCATGGAGGTGAGCAGATAGATTCATGGAGCATCAGTTAAGGACAGAGATAATGAGCAGGTCCTCAGACAGCCCACCCCACTAGAAACAAAGGGGATGGCAGGAGGCTAGGCCAGCAATTAGACATCTCCCTGCAGACTCTGAGTGTCCCTCACACTCTGCACAAACTTGGAGGCCTGATTCCCTCTGGAAGAAATGCACATGGAGTGGTCCTCCCGGAGTAAGACAGGAGAGAGGAAAATCTTGTGTGGTCTTTGTCACCACTGCCTTAGCCATGGAGCTGAGCAGGAAGCACACAATGTCAGATTCAGAGCCCTCATTCCAGGTATTGTACACAATTATGCACTGGAGCCTGTAGGACCCATGGTAGCAGAAAATGGGATTGCTATCAAGGAAACTTCCACAGGATTCCTGGGGTACTCTTGACAGGCACCAGGTGTGCTGAATTTCCTGTAGTGCACAGGATGAGCCCAAGTCACCGGGAAGCCCAGCTCATTAGCTCACAAGGTATTGGTGGCAGGCATGCTAGCAGCCTGGGGTCTCATGGCAAGTCCCCATTATGGTCTCTGCTTTCCTAGACCCCCTGAAAATATCTCCTCATGACTCTCATGGAGGAAGTGTCACCTAGAAAGATTATCTCTTTCCACCTAGGACCCCACATCCAGGTCTCACATCCCCAGGTCCTGACCAGAGATTCAATGGCCTCTGTATCCTGAAAGCTTTCCTGTCCAAAACAAACTCATCCTTTTACCACCTCAGGCTCCTCTGGATGTCCAACCACAAAAGAGACCAGCATCTAGCCACTCACATGGGGCAAACCATAGCAAACATCTCACACACAAACATACATATTCCTGTGTGTGTGTGTGTGTGTGTTTTGAGGGGACAAGGTCTCATGTGTCCCCAGGCTGACTTGGTCTCACACTCACTGTGGAGTGGAAGATGGCCTTCAGCTTCTGCTTTCTCCTTCCTTCTCCTTCTCCTTCCTGAGTGCTGGGCTTATGGCCATGGATTTACATGGTACTGGCATGAAACACATGCCCTCGTGTGTGGCAGGCAAGCACAGTAAGAGCAGAGCTGCACCTCAGCCCTACAGCAGCATCTTGACTCCTCTGCTCACGGTCATGCAAATCCCCATCTCCTGCAGTCCTCACACCTGCTCTCTGTGCTTCTCACGCCTGCTCCCTGTGGTTCTCACACTTGCTCCCTGTGCTGCACCTCAGCAGCCCTCACTTCACCATCTTCCCCATTCTGGGCTCCTCCGTAGTCTGTGCATCTCCACACCATGGCCCACAGCTCGGCTCTTCAGGATATTCCTTTGTGCACACTTCTCTGGTGACCAACGTCAGTGCAAAGTCCTAAGCTCAAATGCACTGAGTACTTCATGCCCTGACTCCTGCTTCCCACCTCTGCTCATCTGCTCAGACCCTATTGACTCCTTCCTTGTCTCTGGAACATTCCTAGTCTACCAATTCTTGTTTCTCTAGGAAACTGCTCCTTTGCAAACCCCTTTCTGACTCCACTTCATTCTGCAATGGAGAAGAAGAGGAGGGGGGAGGAGGAGGAGGAAGGGGTTGGAAGGGAAGGGTGGAAAAAGAAGAGGGGGTTAGGATGGGACAGGAGGGGGGCTCCATTAAACCTCTGTATTAATGCCTATGAAGTGGCTCAGTGAGTAAAATAACGCTCCATGTAAGCCTGATCACCTAAGTTCTATCCCCACCCCTGAATCCATGGTGGGTGGAGAAAACCAGCTCCTGAAAGTTGTCCTTGATCTCACAAGTGCAGGTTTATCTGTGCGCACACACATACACACTGATAATGATAGTACTAATAACAACAACAACGATGATTTTAACATTTAAAAACATCTATTATTGTCACCTTGTCTCTAGACAAGTCCAAAACACTGTCAACAAAGTGCATGAATGTATATGTTTCAAGAGACAAAGTTTGAAGTCGCCTTTCAAACTTTTAAAACTAACTATGGGATTACCTCACTGAAGCACAGAGGATAGCGATTTGAGTGGGCTGCGATGGTACCTCGAGAGCATGGCCCTGGAGCCTGCAAGACGACTCAGCAGTTAAAATAGCTTTGTGTAAACCTATCCTCCAGATTTCAATCCCCACAACCCATGTAAACATGGAAAGAGAGAACGGACTCCACAGAGCTGTCTTCCTACCTCTGTACATGCTCCATGGTGTGCATGCACATGTACACACACACACACACACATTAATAATAAAGGAGGGAACATAATATGTCCCTTTGGTACTTCTGGTGTGGCCCAGCATCTGTAGCTACTTATCACTGGAGAGAGCAAGGGACAGCAGTTTGTACCTGTCACCTGGCTCTGGTTCCGGTCTCCTGGGCCACTGGCAGGAGATAGCCAACAGCAGGTACCGCCTCTCTCATTCTAGTGGGGTAGAGAATTGGGTATTTCCAGTGGGTCCATTCAGTCAGAGACATACAGAGGACAATGTCCAAGACCTCCTCCTCCTCAACACAAAGCAAGCCAGGCCACGGCCAAGAGTATACGTATGAGAGGGAGAGGAGGAGGGGGAGGGAGAGAGCGCAGATGGTGGAAGGGACAGGAAACTTTAAGAGAAGAGTCCGAAAGAGAGGCCAGAGGTCTGTGGTGTTCAATGCACAGACCCCCCAAGCCTGAAGGAAGAGAGTGATTGGCTGTTTCAGTGGAAATGGCCCCAGGGAGAGGAGAGAGTGCTTTTGTAGCTAGCCATAAGGAGAGAAGTCTGAAAACTAGCAGCTGGATTCCTGTAGCCTTAGAGGTTAAGCACGTACTAGAATTAAATGGCATGAGAGGTGACAGGCTTAAGAGGTGGCTATGGGGGACCTCGGGAGGGCTGAGCAGCACCAGCCCCTCACTACTCCGAGGTCACAGAGGCTGCGATGTGCACAGCCGCTGCCACCAGGGGGCGGGCAAGGGACCGGGAGGTGGTGCTGCGCTGGAGCAGGGCGGAGCGGGGACGCAGCGACGCCCAGGACGCCAGATCCCGTGACCATCCGCCAGCTCGCAGCCGACATGCAGTCCCCGGCAGTGCTCGTCACCTCCAGGTGAGCCAGACCCCCAACCCGCACGTTCCAGACATCCCAGCAACTGTCGGTTTATCCCGCAGCACCACACACTATCTTGCGGGCGTGGTGGCGCGCCGTCAAGAGTCCCCGTTTTACAGACAAGGAAACTGAGCGCCCCCCCCCACACACACACAAAAGGAGCACTCACTCAAGCCTCCAGAAAGGCCTGGGATTGGAGAGAGAGCGATAGCTGGGACAGGGCCCGGCTCCCTGTCCCTGCGTTCTTGGAGTCATTTCTTCTAGTCCCCCAAACCCTTTTTCGCTAGCTGTGTGACCAGCCCAATGCTAAGCACCAGCAACGAGGTGAATGAAACAGGTTGTTATTACAGAGGTTACCCGCACCAAAGTGACTGGTGCTAAGTCGGAGGGGAGGGGGAGGGTTAAGTTCAGTTGCCGGTACCCACTGCTGCTTTTGGACGCCAGCTACACAGAGCTGAGACCCTGGCGGTTGTTTCAGGAGCTTCCTCGAAGGGCTCAGGGCAGTGTGCATCCACCCAAGGCCACACTGGAGAAACACAGCTAGGATGAGGGCTGAAAGGGCTTGTGGGCAGGATGGATGTCCTACTCTTTCTTCGATTTTTAGATAACTCTTGAAATGGTGAACTTCAAGGAATTCGTATACTCCGCCTTTATTCCTGCTATACAACCTCTAGCCAAGATGGGTAAACGAATGCTTAGCCAACACAAGTTCAGTTGTACTCCCAGCTCCCTTATTAGAAAACCATGATTTCGTACATAAGCCCTGATGTTGAAAGCTGCCTGCTCTCCTTGGTGCAATGAGCGAGGCCACAGGCCACATTCCCGTTAAAAGAGATGTCCCTATGGCCCTGTGAGTTCTTCCCTTTCACTGAGCCTCAGTGCCCCTTCCTGCAGAGAGAGGTTCCATCTAAATAGATAGGGGCACAGGAACAGTAAATGTCCCACACCAAGCAGACCCACGACTTTGAGTTTGGTGCTGGTGCCTTTGATGGGTCAGGCGGTGTTTCCAGCCTCCTCCTGCTAGGCATCTCCAGGCTTCATCCTTGAATCCACCCAGCAGGTGTTTTCTCGCTGTGCTAAACACCAGTCCAGGTTCTAGGATACAATCATAAGGCTTTGGAGGGAGCAGGTGGGCACTAGGAAAATGCAAGCTATGTCAAGGGTAGTAAATGCCCATAAGGAAGCTGGATGGTAAGAAGAGAGGTCAGGTGACCGACGTGACTTTTATATGAGTGGTCAAGGAATATCTTTCTGAGAGAAGTCCCCTATAGAGAGGAGATCTTGCAGTGTGTGCTCAGCAGAAAAGACAGAAAGAGCCACAGTCCAAAGGCCAGTGTGCCGAAGTAGGCAAAGAGTTTGGCGTGGCCTGAAGAGGCCTGCAACCAAGAAAGGCCATGAGCTTTCATTCTGAGTGTGGTGGAAAGCACAGGCAGACCCGCCATGGGAGCAGGGGGACAGAGAACCTGTGGCTGCTGTACCCATGTCCTGAAGGCACTGGCCAGAATCTACGTGGAACAGTGGTGGGGTGACCCCCCTGGGGAGGGAGGAGGGGCTGAGGCCAGTTTAGGTTCTCTGTGTGTTCTGAATGATAAACTTTGGGGTCTGTAAATGGTAAGGTTGTTGGGGAAGGGGGGAAAGACAGGGTATGGGTATCAGCTGAAGGGCTATACTCCTAAGCTTACTGCTTCCTGGGATGGCTCACGGGTGGAACATGGAAATCGGCATTTGTTCAGATAGGTTTGCTTTTAAAACATGATTGGACAGTCAAATGGAGTTGCTAGGTGAGTAAGAGGCGGGATGGTTTGGAGGGAAGAGTCAGGACCACAGGTAGGAATTGGGCCGCCCTTGGCTCGGGATGCTATGGAAAGGCCTTGAGTCTGCGTGAGGTCATTGGAGGGCAGTGTGAACCAGGTCAGGCTGAGCCATGGGAATAAAGGTAGTAGGATCTATAAGGGACCTGTAGCCACATCACGACTGAGCCACTTGGTTTAGGGCACAGGAGAGTACTATGCCTGTGAGCGACATCCTGCCGACTGCTTGCTTTTGTGATTCCAGTTGTACAAGAACACACACAGACCAGGCAGGTATTGGCCGTAGCTGCTTTCCTTGTGTGAACAATTGCAACTGAAATAAGATAGCATGCATAGCTTGAGATAGTTATGGTCTCAGGCTTCTGGTTGAGTGACCTAAGTGTATCTTTCTTGCACGTTCCAGAGTGATGCTTATATTGTCTAGGGGTCACTTCTTACGAACTCTGGGTCTGGATGAGCAGGGTTCCCAGGCTTGCTCCTCTCACCTAAAAGTCAGTAGTCAGGAGTATGAGGGAAAGATGGAGGAGCATAAGTGTGCCAATCCGAGAGGGATACAGAAATATAATTGTGTCTAGGCACAGGAGCAAAGGAGCTGATGAAGAAGGCTTTTTAAAGTAAGCTGAACCCTAGGCATGAAGGCAGGGGAGCCAAGCCAGAGATGTAGAGATTCTTGTACAGTATGCTCAGCCGGTAGAACCAATACAGGGGCTCTAAGGACAGTGATAGGACATGAGTTCAGTTCCTGGTGTGCTTGGCTGTGGGAATCCTCCATGGGAAGCTCCAAGTGGGGCTTGATGATCCTTTCCCATCTTCTGCCATTCAGGGTGAACAGCCTTCTGTGTTATCGCTTCCCAGTACCTCAGCTTCACTGCCTTAATAATCCTGAAGAAAAAGTGCCTCATTTCCCTATCATGGCTAGCAAAGGCTACCTGGGATTGCTCCCTGGAACTCTAACAGCAAAGATAAGCTACTTCCTGTTGGGATCTTTGTTCCTATCTGTTAGATGGGACTGAGCAGTTAAAGTAATTTCACTTATCCACCTGCTGGGAGAGCCAGCTGCTTCCCCCATACCTTAGCCTCTGCCCCCACATCTCCTCTTGTCCTTGTGACATTGGCACACATCCTTCATTCAGCATCAGACAGAGAACACTGTCATTTGGCCATTGGTAATGAAGTGGCCTGGCTCAGGGCTTAGGGATTAAGAGCACTGGCTGTTCTTCCAGAGATCCTGAGTTCAGTTCCCAGTACCCACATGGCAGCTCACAGCTGAGGATTCGATGCCCTCTTCTGGCCTCTGAGGGCACAGGCATACATGTAGACAAAACTCCTATATACATAAAATAAAATTTAAAGAAGAGAAGAAGTGGCCTGGAGTAGTGTATCTCACCTTGCAGCATGTGTCTGCTCAGGATGCCTTTGTGATGCTTCTCCAGAGGCAACCAGCACAAGCCTGCAGAAGGATTCCTGCCAATGCACCTCACATGGGATGAGAGTATTATTCCCTGTGTGTACAGGTCTCTACAGTCCCTGGACACAGACACGCACACATGGCATATTTCATGCTTTTAGTATGCTGTCCCAGTGTGCAGCCTTGTTCTCAGGCCCATGTGTGTGTTTGTGTGTATGTTGTATTGCATTAAGAAACACTCCATGGGCTCTGGTAGACACTCACAGCTCTCCGAGAATGATAGGTTAGCCAGCACATCCTTTTAGCCTAGAGAGAGTGTTCTGACTGTACTCAGGTACTGGTACCTGTCTCCTAAGAGTATCCAGAGGAGGAAGCCACTGTTTCCCTGCAGCCTTGGATATCATTCCAAGCTACTACTAGATGCTCTAGTTAAAGGCAGACAGGACCATCCGGCTTAGCTGGGCCAGCTCTAGTGAATCTTGTCTTCTTCAGAACTGAGAAAGTACATCTGTCCAGATCCCCTGGAGGACTTCCAGAGATGGCTCAGCAGTTAAGAACATTGGCTGTTCTTCCAGAGGACCTGGGTTCAATTCACCCAAATAGCAGCCTACAACTGCCTGCAACTCCAGTTCTGGGGGATCTAACACCTCAAACATGCAGGCAAAATACCAGTGCACATTATAAAAATAAATAAAAGAAGTCATAAAAAAAAAAAAAAAAAGCTGGGCAGTGGTGGCACACACCTTTAATCCCAGCACTTGGGAGGCAGAGGCAGGCGGATTTCTGAGTTTGAGGCCAGGGTGGTCTACAAAGTGAGTTCCAGGACAGCCAGGACTTCACAGAGAAACCCTGTCTCAAAAAGCAAAACAAAAAAAAAAACAAAACAAAAAACCCCACAGATTCCCTGGAGGGCTTCAGTCCGGCTCTGTCTTCACAGACTCGGGCTCCTCTCATGGTCTGCATACCCCTAACCCCTCAGAATGTAAAGACAGACTGACAAGGACACATAGCTGAATGACCCAGCACCTGGAGAAAGGGCCCCACTGACCTGCCTGCATCCCAGTGGCGAAGTCCACTGACTTACACTTGACCTTGGCCTGCCTTCCTTTGCTTTACAGGCAAGTTCAGAATGTGCACACAGGCCTCGATCTGACTGTCCCGCAGCACCAGGAGGTGCGGGGTAAGATGATGTCTGGCCATGTGGAGTACCAGATCCTGGTGGTGACCAGGCTGGCTGTGTTCAAGTCAGCCAAGCACCGACCCGAAGATGTCGTCCAGTTCTTGGTGAGCAGGGGACCCTGGCCATGATGCCCTGAGGGTGCCCAGGCAGGTACATCTGCCCCTCAGAGTGATGACACTTTTCTATACAACACATGTCCATGGTCTGGAGTGCTAGACTGTGTGGGATGACAGGAACACCAGAGTAGACCTGTGCTTAGAGTCCATAGCAAAGCAGACTTGTAAAGAGGCATAGATGGTGATGGAGGCACCTGAGAGCTGGGAATGTGTAGACAGAACAATCTAATACACCTTGGAGAGAAGATGCTGGCAACATCTTGGAAGAGGCAAAGGCAGGAGGATGGTTTAAAGAGTAGGTGGTGTTGCTGGATGGTGGTGTAACCAGAGGGAAGTGGAGATCTTGAGTTCAGGGCTAGCCTGGTCTGCAAGTGAGTTTCTACACAGAGAAACCCTGTCTCAAGAGAATAGATGATGTTAAGCAGCAGGGGAGGAGGGCAGACTGTCCCAGAAAGGACATGGGTTGGGATGACATGGGAGAAACCCTGTCTCAAGAGAATAGATGATGTTAAGCAGCAGGGGAGGAGGGCAGACTGTCCCAGAAAGGACATGGGTTGGGATGACATGGGAGGAATCGAGGGTAGATGACATACAGGACTCAGGTTGAACCTGGACTTGGCTTGTGGCCGTGTAGTTTTAAACAGGAAAGTGACAGTCCTGTCTGCCTTTAACCAGAGCATCTAGTGGCAGCAAAGCATTGGAGCCAAGAGACACCTGGTTCTGAGGATAACATAATAAGCCTCCATGCTGGGAGCCAACAGAAACAACAGGGTAAGAGACAAGGAGAGAGGGCAACGCTTACAGTGTGCTGAAAGTCAAGCTCAGCACCACTGGCAAGGAGCAAGTCAGAGGCTGTGGTGAGCCTCTAGTGCTCACCCGCTGGGTGGACACGGGAAGCCCAACATAGGAGTGGGCGAGATCTGAATCTTAAGTAGTTAGATATTAGCTGTAGGCCATGTTAAGAGCTGGGGGTGGGTGAAACTACCCAGAGAGCAGAGGTGAAGGGCTGGGAAAAGAGCTGAGGAGAGGAAGTCCTGGAAATACCAGCAAGGCCAACGATAGCTGGGCCAACCATCGTGGCAGAGGGGAAGGCCGAGTGACTGAAGGCAAGGAAGCTAAGGGAACAGAGAATTTCAACTAAAAGGAAGGATGGGTTCACACGTTTATTTACCCTTTGGCCTCTTACGGAAGGATCCAGACCTGATGAGCAGGAAAGACGGGTCTTGGTATCTTAGGACACGGTGAAATGAACCAGAGTCCTTTAGTAGCATGAGGGAGCAGCTGCTGCAGGTTGGTTTGGCACCTCCAGGTGGCCATGACAAAAGAAACGGATGAGTGTACAGCTCTGTGACGGTAAGGGACCAAATTCTTTTTGTTGTTGTTGTTGTTTTGTTTTGTTTTGTTTTGTTTTGTTTTGTTTTGTTTTTCAAGACAGGGTTTCTCTGTGTAGCCCTGGCTGTCCTGGAACTCATTCTACAGACCAGGCTGGCCTCAAACTCAGAAATCCACCTGCCTCTGCCCGCCAAGTGCTGGGATTAAAGGTGTGCGCCACCATTGGCCAGCTAAGGGACCAAATTCTAAAAAGAATATATATCACAAATCACTCCCCACAGTGCTCCTTTTCATCTGATTGCCTCTTAGACCAACTCTTGATTGAACCCAGGTGGACCCTGAGCCGTGGTTCTGGGTCTGCTGTGTTCTAGAGTGGATCTTCTCTGAGGGGCCAGTTGCAGCTCCTGGTGGTCTGACCTGAGCTCAGGTACACCCAGTGATTCTAGGGCCTGAGGGAGAGGCAGCATCCTGGGACCCCTTGGAGTCCAGCACAGCCTGTTCCATCCTGCACAAAAGGCTGGATGTCAGTATGGGGTGAATGAAAGGTCACCTGTGACACTGCCACATGCCACACTAGTGCTGCTTTGTCCTAAACAGTGATGCCCACGCCCTGTGGAAAGCATACTGGTGGTTCACAGACCTCAGAGGGCAAAGGGTAACTCATTTGCTCCCCTACACACGGTGTTATCTAGGGGTGTAGGCTAGAGTTATGCTCCCAGGTCTGCAATCCCCCTTGGATTTGATGTGTTAGCTAAAAGAATCAGCGATGATTTTATGTCTATTCCTTAGAAGGATATATACTTTTTAATAAAAGCAAGCATTTAGTTGCTAGCCATGAGTAAAGCCAGCCCCCAGGGAGGAGCACTGTCTGGGAGCACTATATCTGAGGTCTGGCAGACACCCTGCATCTCCCATTACAGGTATTACACATACAGTGTATGTGTGTATCAGAGGACAGAGGCAGCATCATTCCCGCCCAGTGCTCCTCACTGCCTGCCACACAGAGCCAGTGGGTATTTATGTCTCCCTACTTTAGCTCCCTGTTGTCCTTGTCATGTTTGCTGGTGGCTCCCTGATGTTCTGGCTAGAACACAAGAGGATGAGAGCCCTGGATGGGACCAGGAACCTGGACTTAAAGCTCCCTCCTGTCCCTCACACTGCCTGGTTTGTGGGTCTGTGGCCTCAGCCTGCATGGAACAGTTATGCCAGCAGGGGATGCTCGTCCCTCACTGTAGCCATGCTGCAGTTTGTCTGACCCTCCTGGTGTGAGCCTGAGCAACTAGCTAGTGCACTGAGGATCTTCCTTATCCTTTCCCTAGGAGTTCTTTCCAGGAAAGTTCCAGAATCAGGCTCCTGTGTTCAACTATGGACTGCAGCTTTCCTATTGGGAAATAGAGTCCCTACTTGGAGAATTCTGAGGTCCCACCCACACCACCACTACACAACCATCTCCTGGGGTCTAAGACCTTACTTAACACTGAGTGGTGTGCTGGTTATTGAGATGTGGCCCACAGCCTGTCTGGTAACCACCATCCCTTTCTGAGCCCCAATTGAGGGGGACACCTACAGTTCAGCCACACACATACTAGCATACATACTCAAGGTGGAGTAGCCAGGCCTGGGGGAGCAGCTCATCCATGCCTTCATTCTCAACATTGTTACTTATTTCCTGGGGAGGTGGCCTGGTCTCCAGAGAATCGCCAAGGAGTTCAGGACTGAGATAATCGAGGATGTTGGTGAAGGCTGTGACAAAAGGCAAGTGACTTTTGTACAGATCCCAGAAATGCCACCAAACCCATGGGGCTATGCCTGCTCACTGCATGAAGTCAGAGCCAACTGAGGATTCCTCTGTTGACAAATGCATAGCAAGAGTA